ACGTTGAACAAACGTTTTCAACTCACTCAATGGGTCATCATTACTTTATTAATGTTATACGAAACTTTACACTAGTTCGTTTACGATTATTGTTATCGAATGACTAAGGAATTTAAATTATGCTAAATTCAAAATAAACGAAATAGAAACCATTTAAATAGTCCATTAAATACCGAATCAAGCAAACTATAATAAAATAATATACATTACAGTAAAACAAATATAAATACAGTAGAGCATCGATTATTCGACTCAATTGGGGACTGGGGTTGGTCGGATAATCGAAAAGTATGAAAAAATCCATTCTTAGTGTAGTATATTATTATATCCCATATAATTACATCTCATATAGTATTTTACTATATCGCTATTAACCTAGTTCGCGTTGAATTTTCCTTCATGTTAAGCCTATCAAAATTTAAAAAAAAAAAATAATAATCGTCGCTATTGTATCGCTAAAAAGTAGAAAGTTAAGCCTCGTTTAAATACTGGCTCCCTTTCATGGTCGATCCACTGTTGCCAGCTAAAACAGTAAAAAATAATATTAAAGTAGCCAAGACATAGCCAAATATTGTAGCGCCACATCACTAGCGGACATTTGAATTTTCGGACTAGAATGCGGTCGGTAAACTGAGGTGACGGTTAATCGGGGGTCAAATAATCAATGCTCTACTGTATAACAACAAAGGATTCATACAACGACCGCGTGCTTCGCATTACATTATAAGCCTCGATTATCCGGACTAATTGGGAATTATGGTATTCTGGATAAGGAAATTCCGGATAATCGAAACAAATACGTTAATTTATCTTTTAATGATAATACAACACGTTTTCTTTTCCATGACGTATCGGTAATATTAAAAATAAATACTGTATTTAAATCGTAATCAAATTTACAGAAAACAAACGTTCGTATTGAATTTGATTTAATACTGACCAGCGCTAAGAGACTAGCTATTGTTTAAAAGGCGCTCTGGTGGCTCAAGAAGACGGATTTTTAAAATAAAAAGCAGTTGAAACTGCATTTTTATGAATAAAAATTTGACTAACTATTTATCGCTTTATGACGAGTAAAATTTTTTCGTCACGTTCTCGGCTTTTAAGTAATGCATAAACCTTCGAGGCGTGAGGCCCTTCGGACCGCGAGGCATAGGCGGTGGCCCACGTTGCCCATGCTTTACGCCGCTCTTGGTCATAGAAATGATGTAATTTGAAAATAAATTATTTATAAATACGGGATGTCATTATGCATGTCAAGTTATATTTTTATTACGACGCAAAATATATTTAAGAGTTTACGACCACTGTTCCGGGTGAGACGTTGTTGAAACAAAAAATGTTATAAATTCCATCACGTACATAAACAGTGTCGTAATTCGCCAAGTGCAAATCAGCAAATTCGTAAAATTTTTGTTTATTTCGAACAATCCGGATAATCGAAAATCCGGATAATGGAGGTCCGGATAATGGAGGTTCTACTGTAT